GGGCTTACCTGGACCCTATAAAACCTACCTGGTTGAGGATGCTGATTACGATTTCTTTATTTAAGTGCTTAAAAGGGTAGGTCATTTGGGCTTAGAGTAAGTTTTAGGTTTTAGGGGTTTCGGGTTTAGAGTTCTAAGTGCGGCCTCTAGTTGCTGAGTAACTTGGCCCAGAAATATTAGCCGCTGATCTTTGTTGTATTCTGGGATTTGTAAGTCACAATGCTCAAACTTAACCTTAAACCTACTGAGCTAATTACTAACTCCAGCGCTTAAAATTAAAAATGTGCACATAAACCCTAAACCCTGAACCCTAAACCCGATCATCAAAGGAAATGATTGCAAGGAGCTCCTATCCAGTGGCTTTTGTAGACGCTGCGCGTACAAGCTGCGTGCACAAGGCATGTAGGGGTTTAGGGTTTAGGGTTCAAGGTTTAGGGTTCAGGGTTTAGGATTAGGAGTCCGGCTGCTGTGCGTAGACAGGCAACAATAAATCACAGTGGAACGCCTTGCGACACTTCGTTTAGGACCGTCTCAACACGGTTGAGCTTGTTAAATATTGCCATTGTAAACTTCAGGATCCGAGCGATGCATTCCGTCTCAAGATGCCTTCCGGTCTGACTTCCACCGCAAGCCTCCATACACTTCTGTAGGGCAACAATACAGTTCAAGGATCTCGCTGTAGCACTGTCTGAAAGGAGTTTGCTTTGATGCCGTTCAAGCCTCTTCCGCACTAAGCTAAACTGCAAATTCGAAACAAATATATATATATATATATATGAAATATGTGATAGATTAGCTTGTCAATGTATAACACCAGTATAGATACAGCTATAGATGTACATATAGACACAGTTATAGATGTAGGCAAGGCGCAGGCAGTGGCACGTGAACCAGGCGATCGAAGCCTTGGTTGACTACACTGTGGCAGGAAGAGGTAGCAGCCCAGAGTCTAGTACCCCCTAATTTAGGAATATACCCTAAACTATAGGGGATTATATTCTTATGGGTTTGATGTATATTCCTTCCCTAAGGGGGACTATATTCTTCTGATTTGCGGTATGTTCCTTAATTAAGGGGTATTGTGCTCTCCGGGAAACTGATTTCAACCCTGAGGCCTAAACTCTAAACCCTAAACCCTATACTCCAATCCCCCCCAAACCCTAAACCCTTCGTCAGTAATACCTGCAAAACTGCAACACTCAAAGTGTTCCAAAGGTGGGATGTTCATACTTTCGGGTGTATGCTTTAGGGCTTTGGGTTTAGGATTATCCCAAAGAATAGTCCTCCAAACCCTAAACCCTAAACCGGCGATCCGTCGCCCTACATGCTTTCATCAAACCCTTTGAGGCCTCCAGAAACTACCTGATCAGGTGGCAGCGATTCCTAATCCTCAAAGGCTTTGGGGTTTTGGGTTTGGGTTTAGGGTGCTAGGACTAGCAGTGGTGATGGCCGGCGTACTAGGTAGTAGGCGTATGAACCTACGATCCTCAATCTAGAAGCCTGAGTACTGACCAATATCACTCCTTATTAGGGTCCTCAAAATAGTCTTTCTACAATACACCTTCATTGTTCAGGCCGCCACCATAAACCGCTAAACCGCTATAAGAACCAACACACCTCTTCAACTGTTCTAATCATTAACCCTATAAACCCTAAACCCAAAACCCCAGAACCCTAAGCCCAGAACCCTAAACCCAACACCCTAAACCCAAAACTCTAAGCCCACAACTCTAAACCAAAAACCCAAAACCCTAAACCCTGAACCCAAAACCCTAAACCCAAAACCCCAAGCCCAGAACCCAAAACCCTAAACCCAAAACGCTATGCCCAAGACTCGAAACCAAAAACCCAAAACCCTAAACCATGAACCCGAAAGCCCCCAATGAATTTTGACTTAAGGTCGCCATAAACCCTAAACCCTAAACCCCTAAACCCCAAACCCCTAAACCCCCAAACCCTCAAAAGGAGAGCCCTGCTTTCAGGCAAGGAGCGTCCTGGGCGAACCAAAGCCGAGTCCAAGGCTTGCGGCCGGTTCGTTGCCCCGAGGACCTTTAGTTCTTTAGGGTTTAGGGTTGTTTTTCTCTAAGTTTAAAGTTTAGGGCTTTAGGGGTCTAGTGCTTAGGGCTTAGGGTTTAGGGTTGTTTAGGGTTTAGGGTTGTGTTTCTCTAAGTTTAAAGTTTAGGGCTTTAGGGGTTTAGGGTTTATGGTTTAGGGTTGTTTTGGGTTTAGGGTTTAGGGTTATAGGGGTTTAGGGTTTATGGTTTAGGGTTTAGGGTTTAGGACTTAGGGTATAGGGGTTTAGGGGTTTAGGGGTTAGGGGTTAGGGTTGTTTACGGTTTACGGTTTTAGGGTATAGGTTTAGGGTTTAGGATTTAGGGTTTAGGGTTTAGGGATATAGGGTTTAGGGTCTAGGGAGAATAATTTAGGGTTTAGGGCTTAGGGGTTACGGTTTAGGGAGCAGGGTTTAGGGTTTAGGGGCAAGAGGTGTCGCAAGAAGGCGGCTTGGGGGTTTAGGGGTTTAGGGGGCTTTAGGGGGCTTGAGGGGTTCGGGTCGGAGATTGAGGGTTTCAGGGTTCAGGGTTTAAAAGACCAGAACTAGAATGAATGGAGTGAAACTAAGGACTGGAAATTTGAATAAGGTTTGGGAGGTTGTGCCATAATTAAAGCAAGCCTCTAAAGAAACCTTGAACGATACGTAGAAGGGCCCTTTCGGGACAAACTTTCACGGGCTATGTTGGATCGCGCAGGGCCTAGGATTTGGGACTGGATTTAGACGGCTTTATCGTTCAAAAGAAAGCTATGGGCCCTCTTTCTGTCGCAGGCGAGAGCACCGCTAAACCCTACATCCCTAAACTCTAAACCATACCACGGTTTAGGAGGAGCCCGCAAGCCAACACCACAGCGGCAAGGCGTGCCGTTGGGAACCGGAAGGGATCGATCAGGCATGATTCGAGTTGGAACCGCAAAAAAGGGCTGCTGTCGGCATTCGCCTCCGTCCTAGCCGGCATCTCACTCAATCCCCAAATACCATGCTTGATAAATTGTTGTATTATAAGTGCAAGGGCCGCTAGTATCACAGCTCTCCGTGCGCAATAAGATCCACAGTTCATCAGCTTTTTTCAAGCTCCCTAAGCCTACCCACCTGAACCCTGGAATTTTTGACTTGGCTTCGTGGATGTTGCGACAAGTGTCTCGCAAATCAAGCTGAGTGTTCAGTATACTTCGTTACATATATATATATATATACGCACACACACACATATACTGGGTTCACTCCCTGTTAGGTTCAATCGAGGAGCCACCACATGGCGCGTCGTGCTCCCTGCTGTCGCGGCACCGATCCTGAGGTGGGTTGGGGTTTGATAGTATGTGACTACAACATGTAAGATATCTTCGACATGTAATAAAGCAATGTATAAGGGCGTACCTCGCCAGGTCCAGGATGTACGAAATTTGTGTTTAGAGTTTAGGCTGCAGATGGAGAGTCAGAGATTGATTCTTGAACCCCTTTTTTAAGGCTCCTGATTGCGATTTCCCTATATCTATATTTGTATGTATTTAATGTATCTATACATATATTATATACATACACCTGAAACTGGTAGCTTTTTTAGGGTTAAGGCTTGCCGCTGGGATCCCCAGAAGGCTTTAGGGTCTAAATGTCGAGGCCTTAATAATTAGAATAGGGTTTTGGGCTGAGGGTTTAGGGTATAGGGTTTTGGGTTTAGCTTTCGGGTCTTTAGTGTAGGGGCCTTAATAATTAGAATGGGGTTTTGGGCTCCTTTAGAGTATCATTGCCATTATAAGGAACCCTACCAGTAATTGGCGCAATTATTGAGGCTTCTATACTAGGGTCTCAGGGTTTAGGGTTTAGGATCGTCGGCTTTAGGGTTCCGGGTCCATGTTCTGGGAATAAAAGGGCGGCTTGGTGGTCCTGGGTAGGTTTATAAGCCACCAGAGACTCCAAGAACCCTTAATGTCAGGAATGAACTTAGAACATACTTGGGCGACTCCCGACTACCCTCTATAAGAGGCCCCCGGAATCGAACATCGACAATCTCTGTGTCAAGTCTCCCGTCCATCTCCGCCAAGAGCTGTGCCAAAACCCGCGAGGAGACGCCTCCTCCCTCGCTCTCGCGGCTGGCGCCCAGCGCATCGACCTCCAGGATTTTCCCGGCACCCTCAACCGGGGTTTTGTGGGTGTGTGGGGTTCCAGGTTTAGGGTTTAGGGTTTAGGGTCTCTCATCGAAGAATTTACTAGGCGTTTCCTCGTCGAAAAGAGGGGGGTGGTATCTAGGTCGGCTTCGGCTTCGTTAGATCTAAGTGGGGTTAGAGCTTGAAGTTTGTTTCCCCTCAAAGTCGCCAAACAAAAACAGAAGCATCGGGTGGGAAGATGAGGCCCGCTAGAGGATTGATGTAGGGGCCTCAATAGTTAGAACAGGGTTCTGGGCTCCTTTAAACAACAATATTGGTTATGGTTTAGGCTTCTATGTTAGGGGGCTTGGCAAGTAGGATTTAGGGTTCTATGCTCTATCAGGGGTTTGGGGATCGGGGGCCATGCCATGCTATCACAGAATGCACGAACACAAAAGATCTCGAGACCCTCTACGATCGCAACCCCTTGCCATCAGCCGCAAATCTGGAAACCCAAACCCTGGAGCCTAAGCCCAAACCGTGAATGCGGGCCTTCCGAATTCAATTCTCCCAGACGGCCCAACACCCCAGGATTGAGGAAGTTATAGCGTAACTTTTGTCATATCTTGTGCTTCAGCTTGCAACTCGATGTGGGCCCCAAGATCTCACACAATTTCTAGTCAGATTCCTGCCAAGACCGACATACACTAGAATTATAAACAAGGTATGAGCCAATGTGGGATAAGATCATTAAAGAAAACCTAGTGTGATATACTGTAATATAACGTTCTTACAAAACCCTGTTCAGGACCTAATACTGCACATCTTGTAGATTGTAGGTTGTCGGCAAGATCACAAACCAATCCTTCGACCCAAACCCTAAACCTAGACCCGAAGCTCTAAAATCCTCAATCCTAAAACCCTAAGCAATTTAAAGTTCTTCTAGAGACCTACGCCCTGAACTGCCTCGTCGAAGAAGACAACGCACGGCGCTGCTGTGCGCGCCTTCGCTTGGTTAGGCTGTCGCCAGGGGTGTCTACCCTCAAGGGTCTAAGTACTCCTAGGCCCCATAGTAGTTCCTGATCCTATTAGGTAATCCCAAAAAGGAACTGCTATGGGCCTATGGGTATAGTACGAATTTCTGTGCTTTTAGGTACTAAAGCCACAAAAAAATCTACTTGGACCCTTAGAATTAGGGTTGAGGGCGTAGGGATCACTGAACGTGATAAATCGGCTAAAGGCACAGGTGCAGTCGCAAGCAGGATTGCCCTAGTAAGACCCACTTAGTACACGAAAAATTACCCAGATTATTGCTTCGGTTTCCATAAAGTGACTCTACACAAAAAGCCACCCTGACCCCACAAAAAATTGGTCCTGGCGGGCTAAGGTAGGGTTCCCCTAAGGTAGGGTTCAGGGAAGAATGCCTACTTTGGGCATTGGGGGGGCCTAAAGTCAAACGTAGCGGCCTGAATAATTGGAATGGGGTTTTCGGCTCCTTTGTACTATAATTATAGTAAGGAGCCCTTAGGAATAATATTGAGTAAGGTTTTAGGCTTCTAAATCAGACATATTACCCAACTTGGGGCTATTTGGAGCTGTCAAGTTAAATACGCCCCAAACCCTAAACCGCAGATCTACCCTTACACGGACCCAACACAGGATCGTTTCATCTTCCGCTCCTTAAGCCCAAAAAGTGTGGATATCTGAGCCTGAACCGCAACCCCCAAAAGATTTCGTTTGGGCGCTTTTGGGGCTGCTGATCCCCTAATGTTGAAGCTTTTAGGGTTTAGGGTTTAGGCTAGCCACCCTCAAGCGGACTCTAAATCCAACCTTGAGATACCAAAACCTACTTTTGTGCAGGGTCCCTGTACGTTCTACATTGTGGTATTTAAAAAGAAGATCCTACGAATGGTACTTTATAACATGAACACAACGCCTAAACCCTATACCCTACTTGGAGGATCAGGGGACTTAGTAAGTAGGACTCTTTCTATACTTATTATAACTTATAGACCTACTTACTAAGTCCCATGATCCTCTATAAGCAAAGCCAACCCTGAACGCGTAAACCCAAAGCCCTACACCCTAAACCCTAAACCCTGAACCCCCAACCCCTAAACCCAAAAACTCTAAAAGCCCTAAACCCAAAGCCCTAAAGGCTAGACCCCAAGGCCTTTCGGAAGACATCCCGCACAGCCCGTTCGCTGTCGCCCACGTACTTCGAGAAGAGCTCGGGGCCCTGGACAACAGGCTTCCCCGAAGGGTCCAAAGCACCCAATAATGAGGGTTTAGGGTTTAGGGCTTAGGCTTCAATAATTAGGTACTTTGGATACGGGTAGTCATCTAGGTGAATAGTTGGAAGAATACATGATTATTAGGTGCTTGGACCCTTAAGGACAGGCTTCGGCTTTGGGCTTACGGGTTGGGAGGTTTTAAGGGGATTTAAGGGTTTAGGGGTTCAGGGGTTTAGGGGTTTAGGGTTTAGGGGTTTAGGGTTTAGGGGTTTAGGGTTTAGGGGTTTAGGGTTTAGGGGTTGCGGGTTTAGGGGGTTAAGGGTTTAGGGTTTAGAGCCTACCTCTACCCTAAAGAACCTACATGTTTTAGAGCTCCTTATTATTATGATCTCTCTATATATAACTCCTTACAAAGGCAGGTGATGTTAGGGTCTAGGTATTGCGTTGGGTCTATGGCTTACGGTTGGTGGTGTAGAGTTAGAGTTTATCAGGTTTAGGATTCTGGAATAATATAGGGGCCTTCATACTTAGAATAGGGTTTTATAATCAGGACCCCCCAAAGCCCTATTCTAAGCATTGAGGCCCCTAATTAGAGTAGAAGGGATTCGGGTTTAGGGTATGTGAGGCCTCGAGGCCAACCCCCATCTGACAGTCTAAACCCTAAACCCTAAAGTCTAGACCCTAAACCCTAAAGCCTAAACCCTAAACCCGAAAGCCTAAACCCTAAAGCCTAAAGCCTAAACCCTAAACCCGAAAGCCTAAAACCCTAAACCCGAAAGCCTAAAACCTAAACCCCCAAGTCTAAACCCTCAACGCCTAAACCCTAAACCCTAAAGCCTAAACCCGAAAACCTAAACCCGAAAGCCTAAAACCTAAACCCCCAAGCCTAAACCCTCAACGCCTAAACGCCTAAACCCGAAAGCCTAAACCCAAAACCGTTGCGAAGGGTTCAGATCAGTTGCTGAGTGACTGGCCTTAAGGGGATGACACCTCACAGGCTTAGGGTTTAGGGGTTGGGGGGGTTAGGGTTGGGGGGTTTAGGGTTTCGGGTTGATTGGGGGGTTTAGGGTGTAGGGGTTTAGGGGTTTAGGGGTTAAGGGGTTTAGGGTTGGGGGGTTTAGGGTTTAGGGGTTGGGGGGTTTAAGGTTTAGGGGTTGGGGGGTTTAGGGCTTAGGGTTGGGCTTCTTGCTGCGTCTCCCGACCGCCTCCCGACCGGACGTCAGTGACAAAGATGCTGAGATCCGAGCGTCTGCAGCTGCCGGGTGAGTTCATCCACGTGGCTTCGGTAGCTCACCTTCGCCTTCACAGGAAGACAAAAAACCTCCCTTGATGAGCGGCTCTTCCGCCACCAGTTTGGACAGGCGCACCGCTTGAGACACCAATCAACTTTACATGGACACACATAAATTTTCGAGCGCAGCTGATGAGAAAGGGCAAGGTGGAGCCTGCTGCGCCCAGGACGCCCCAGGCGCTCGTTTCCACCTCGCGGCAGTGTCATCCGAGGAGAACCTAGCTGCTTCACGGCTTGTGTCCACCTTGCTCTCCACCTGTGCGCAGAAACGCTGCCAGCAAGAGGTCGTTCGCGCCAAGGGCTCCCTTACTAAAGGAAACTACAGGTGGGGAGTTTAGGGTATATAGGGCGTCTATAAGGCTTCCATATAAGCTATTTAGATTTTTTTTGGCTCCTGTAGCGGAAACTACCCACCTGACCCACCTGAAAATGTCCTCGACTTTACGTGGAAACTTGTGGGGTTACTATTGGGGTTTTAGGTTCTGTGGGGGCTTACAAACACCATATTCTAAGACCCTAAAACCCCTAAACCCTAATAAACCCGGATAAACTCTAACAAACCCTAGTAAACCCTAATAGACCCCAATAAACCCTAATAGACCCTAATGAACCCTGATAGACCCTAATAAGCCCTAATGAACCCTAACAAGATGGACCAGGCCTTGATCGAGATGAAGTTCATCTCCGTCTCCGTGGCCACCGCTTTGGCCATCCTGGCAGGGTGTCACGGCTTTCGGGTTTCAGATGTAGGGTTTAGGGTT